TATATATATATATATATATCGCAACAAAATTTGGAAGAGAGTTGTACCTGTTACTGAACTTCCATCTATATCAGATTGTTTGGAACTTTTGTTCACACTTTGTTCACCAGACAAATTGTAGCTTGTCTTATCATTTTCCGTGCGAGTAACGTTCACGTCTGTCATGCTTTTTTTTTGTAAATGTGCGAATCCATACAATAACGATTCGCGAGGTTTGGATGAAGAAGTAGAACTTATTACAAAGTTTATATATTTCTTTGTTAAACGTTCGATCTCGATTGCCGAATATTTACCATTTTCGGAAGAATTCTTTAAAGTCTCCAATTTTATTATCAAAACTCTAGGCTTTTTAAATAGCTTGTATTTCTTTCTTAACTTTATCATATTCAATCGTTCATTGTTTAACCTCACGGGACAGTGTTTTTCAACACGAGTACTAGACACTATTGACAATTGTAACAAATCTTGATGATTATTTTGCGTTTCTGATAAGTTGTGTTTTTGACATCCATCTAACGAAATGATTTCGTTTCTTTGATGTTTTAATGCTGCTTGCTTTTGCTTGTCCAATTGTTTTTTTACTGATTGAGATTGAATCATTTCTAGAGCATTCCTTATTCTGCTTGCTCGCCATTTAATGACATCCATGTCATCCATTTGTTCCAATCTCATTAAAGTAATACACGCCTCATGATTTATCTGTATATTCGGACGCGATTTTTCTTGATCCATCCTTTCATAAGACAAGTGAGATTTATTTTGATTATCAATTCCAGTAATTTCCATACTTCTTTCAACTGCAGTTTCATTATCGTCAGATAAATCTGACGATATTCTTCGACAGCGTTTTCTCCTTGGTCTAGGCTCCTCAGACGATACAGATAAGGACCTTTTTTTTTTAGACTTCCATTCATTCAATTCTCCTTGTATGGCAAATTTTCTGGATTTCAACCTTTCACGAACCAGTCTTTTCATTGACCTTTCTTTATCTTTAGACAAAGTGCATTTGAATACACAAATCTTATCAGTATTTAAATTCTGCTCCGTGGTCTCGCTACTTGATAATGATGAAGATGGAAAATTGTAACATGCAACTGCATCAATAGTGCTGTTAGATGATGTATTCTTTTTTTGATGAAATTCGTATGGTAAAATACGTGCACACATATATGTTTTATCATCGCATAAGACTTCCTTTTTATTCTGTGCTTCATGTGTCAATAAAGTAAAATCTTCAGCATTTTCTTGTGCATTTTGTACAGCCCGCTGAGTGGCTACACATGATTCTTCTACTATTTTTTGTGGTTGTTCATACAAGCGAACATATGTATTATCATCTATTTTACTTTCCATAGTAATTTCAGTAATAGGTCCTTTCTCCTTTTCAAGTATTTGCTGAGTTGAATGTTTTTTAGAAGTTTTTTTCCTTTTCTGAACATTTCCAAATTTCCACAATTTGTATTTTCTTTTATTGTTTATATATTTATTTTTATTGAAGAATGTAACTGGTTTTCCATTCTTTAACTTTGTATTTGGTAAACGTGTAAGCTTTACTGAAATATCTTTGACGAGGCAATTTTGGCAATCTCTCTCTTTAATTGAATCTTGCACCAAATCATTTGTCTGCTTCATTGCCAAATTTAAACTTGTATTTACTATTGATTTACTGCAACTTGGTGATGGATTAAATAATTCCTCATCGGAGTTATCCATCTATAACATATTTAATATATAAACAAATTATGACTATTTTAATTGAAATATATATGAGTATGTTATATAATCATATTGTTAATAGATACATATAAAATGTTATATTTATTGTTGTCAAATAAACTTTTATCAATATTGGATGTACAAGAAAAAATTGAAATTATTTTAAAACTATTTAAGAAGCAAGCAGAAAAATAATAAGATTAGTAGTATCACACACACATAATACACAGTACAATATTTAGAGATATACATAATTCCCCAAAAAATAATTATTAAAAAGATATTATTAAAAAGATCATACAATTTTCTACCTACATACAATTCTTGTATGCTTAAGAGAACTTGACATATCTAATGTAAAAACAATAAAGCATATAAATAAAATATATGTTTTGTTCTTATCAAAGCTTGAAAAAATGCTTGAAAAAATAATATTAGTAAAGTACTAAAATCGGAGTATTTTGTTATGAAGTTAAATATATATTTGATTATATCTGATTATAACAATCTATTTTTATATCTTAAACAGAAATTATTGCAGAAATAATTTTTTAGCTCCTATGTTTTCTTTAATAAAACTGATCAAAAAACTTATTTTTTTCTATTTTTATAAATTTCTTATATTAATCTTGGTATCTTTAATCTTAATTTCTATTTAATCTTAATTTCAACTATAATCAAATACAATATCTACTTTCAATTAAATGAGAAATAAGAATTTGACAGTTAATAATAAAACTTATAAAAAGCTATTTACATACAGACATTCTCTTTAGATTTAGAAGAATTGAAACTATTAACATACAAGCATTTAGTCGACATTTTTCTTACATATAGGTATGCTTTAAATGTTTATGTGCTTATAGTGCTTATAAACATTGCTTAATTCAGTTTCTTCAATTTCTAAGTGTTCGAAAAGACATTAATAACATTATTGCAACATCATATATATATATATATATAGACTGTTTGTAAAACTTATTTCATCAAGATATGGCAGTTATCTTAAGCCTTAACAGTTTTTAATCAAAGGGAACATAATAAAAGTGATATTTTTATGATCTGATTCTGTTAATAAAAATATTATGAAATGTAATATGTATCAAAAGTTCATCATCGCACTCTAAAAATATCAATTGATGTATCTTTTAATATTACATAAAACAAAATTTATCATTTTGCTAAATATACAGATTCTTTTTCGTATCTGACACATATATATATATATATATATATATATATATATATATATATATATATATATATATATATATATATATATATATATATATATATATATATATATATATATATATATATATATATATATATATATATATATATATATATATATATATATATATATATATATATATATATATATATATATATTAAATTGTGCTTATAATGCCAAAGTAAATAACTTTAGTTATTTTGATATAAGCGCTTTTGATAAAACCAAAGAAAATTATTACAAATAGCATTTATAAATATAAGTGCTGAAAACACATAAATGTCTAAAACAAACATACCTTAAGAAACTTGAAAAATTCGTTGCTAAAAGAAAATTTGATTGTTAAAATACATCAAATACATGTTACAATGTACATTGTTGAAATAAGATTCGTTTTTTTTATACGGAAGTTGTAATAAAACTTTTTCTGCTCTTAAAATAAGATAATTAAATATTAAATGAAAAAAAAAAGAACATAAAAAACTATGCCCAACAAATCATGGGAAAGAAAATATTATCAGAGGTATTTTTTTATTTATAAGTTTTTTAAATTAAGGGGGCATATCCGTCTGAATCTTTAAAAAATAAATACATTTTCTAGATTTTTTGCAGTGCAACAATTTGATAAAAACTTTTTTTTATTACAATATTAATGCAATATTATTAAATATTCAAATCAATATTTCCAGCACATTTTTTTTTTTTAAGTTATGCGAATATTTGCAGAGCTCCTCCAATTTTAAGTGGTTGCACGGTGTGAAAATGTTCGTTTATCAAATCAAAAATACAAGTTTTTTTTTTATTAGATATTAATAGCTATATCTAAGTTATCCAAGAGTTTCTTCAAAATTTAAAAAAATAAAAAAATGGCGGCATGTTGAATATCTTTTCTTGTTTATAAGAAAAAAAATAGGAAAACGAATTAAAATAAGGTTTTGTTAACAGATACAGAATCTTATTAGGAACGTGCATGCAAAATTTAAAGTCAATCCGTCGAACGTAACTCGAGTTTTCACATGCACGGTGTGCATGAAAATATAAATCTGCAAATATTTGCACAACTATAAAAAAAAATTTTTTTTTAACTGAAAATTTTTATTTGGGTACTTAATAATATTGTATTAATAATATTGTAAAAAAATAAAGTTTTTATCAAATCGTTGCGCTGCAGAAAAATCTAGAAAAATGTTCGAGAGTTTAAAGATATGTCTTCTTAATAGGAATATCATTTATCGTCTATAGCCTATATATTTTTACGTATTATAATACGAATTCATTCCATAGGACTTGACGAACACGCGTATACATAAAACTCATTTATTCATTAAAATAACAAATTATACTTTCTTTATAAATATTTTTTTTTGTGAAGATATGACAGGGGAGTAATTTTATTATGTAATCAAATAATCAGCATAAAAATTTTAATATATTTAATATATATTCTGCTTTTCAAAAATAATAAATGCATGATGAATGCATGAAAATCGATTGGTTGTTGCGTTTTTCTCTGAACATGCTGTCTCGTTTTATATACAAAGAAATTTTAACAAGAGAATATATTTCCGATAAGAGATTACTTACAAACTGAAATTCCGAGGATTAAAATTTCGTTTTGGTGAATAAAAACTGGCGAGCCACAACCAAATAATCTATACATAGAGATCGATGT